TAGAATTGCTGGTCATATTTATAATAACTCTGTGTTAACATTTTAAGGAATTGTCAGATGGTTTTCTAAAACAGTGACACCATTTGACATTTGCACCAGCAGTGTATTAGGGTTTCAGGGTCTACACATGCTCAAGTTTGGGTTTTTGTTTTTGCTGTTTTATCTTTTATGGGGGGGGTAAATATGGGGCCCTGGTGGCACAACGTTTAAGCATTTGGCTGCCGACCAAAAGGTCAGCAGTTCAAATCCACCAGCCACTCCTTGGAAACCCTATGGGGCAGTTCTACTCTGCCCTGTAGGGTAGCTATAAGTAGGAATCCACTCGACAGCAATGGGTTTGGTTTGTTTGTTTGTTTTGTGGTAAATGTATCAGTAACAAAACAGTTACCTTTTCAACAATCTTCGTGTAATTCAGTGACATTATGTCCATCATGTTGTTCAGTCAAGTTTGGGGTTTTGTTTTGTTTTTATTTGTTCAGGTGGTTTCACTTCCCCTGGGAGAAAGCAAACGTGGTAGCTAGAGGGTAATAAGCTCCTGGGATAAATAGCCGCATTTCTCCAATCTGTACAGCTTTGGCAGAAAGCTCAACATCTTGGACTGGTGCAGTACTGCTGTCTTCTCAGTGAAACTGTTAACGAGTCTCCAGGTCTTGCTCCGCTTGACTCTAAGACACAGGTCATGTGAAAGCGAAAGAAGAAAATTCTATTTGGTTGGCCAAGCAAAGGAGCACACCGGGACTCGGGTTGCCAAGGTGGCTCTCCAGTCAACAGATACAGGGGTTTAGATGGGGAGGAAAACAGAGTAGGGGGCTTCCCCTCGGGGTATGTTCCAGAACTTGGCCTACCGGGATTGGTGGGCAGTCTCTATGGTGACATGGTCCTCATCAGGTCGGCGCAGCAGCACGGGGATCCAGGACTCTCAAAATGGTCGCAGCAGGGGAAAATGGCGGCTTAGCTCTTCCCAATCCCCCACCCCGCCATATCAGCGACATCTCTAACAGGTCACCAGGAGGACAAATTGAGCTTTTTGCACATGCGTGTGCTGTTCTGCGCCTGCATGGGCAGCTAAGACTCATTTCGTCCAGTAATCACCCCCAGCCCCTTAATTTTTTGGAAGCCAGAATGAGGATGTCAGGGTGTTTACCTTAGCCCGACCCGGTTGCCATCTAGCGGTTACGCGTCTCAAAACGGTGCCACCACCGCTTGTTTGTTTAGGTTCCCCAGACGCTGAAACCCATATACTTTCAATCAGCTGCTTTGGGTTCTGTTTTGTCTTTGGCCATTAAAATCCAGAAGGGACTGCTAAGCTTCTCCCAGCATTGCAGAGGGGGAACAGGCCCACGACCGTCTGATAGCTGTGAATCAGCCACGTGCTTTACCTTAAATGCATCTGACCAGGGAAAGCGTCACTCTCCACAGCCAGATTGAGTCCCTGGCTTGTTCACATGGTGTCATCCCCCACATTCCTCTGACATTACCTTGGATAAAGGAGGCTTTCGGGTAATGTTTTGCTGATTTGAAGGAACCCATTAGGTTCTAGGTGGATCCATTCCAAGTACCCATAAAACCCCATAGCTGTCAAGCCAGTTCCGACTCACAGGGACCCTATAGGACAGATTAGAACTGCCCCCATTGGATTTCCAAGGAGCGGCTGGTAGAGTCAAACTGCTGACCTTTTGGTTAGCAGCAGAGTGCTTAACCACTGTGCCACCAGGGTTCCAGTTCCAACTGCAGCCCCCTGGAAACCATCAACAACATAAACCTGTTGCCTTTGAGTCAGTTCCAACTCATGGTGACCCCACGTGTGTCAGGCTAGAACTGTGCTCCATAGGGTTTTCAGTTGCCAGGCCTTTATTCTGCAGCACCTATGGGGGGGGCGCAAACCTCCAACCTTTTGGTTAGCAGCTGAGCGTGTTACCCGTTTGCATCATCCAGACTCCCATCAGCAACATACAAAAACCCGTTGCTGTCAAGTCAATTTCGACTCAAAAGTGACCATATAGGACAGAGTAGAACTGCCCCGTAGGGTTTCCAAGGAGCCGCTGGTGGATTCAAAGTGCCGACCTTTTGGTTAGCAGCCGTAGCTCTTAACCACTGCATCACCAGGGCTCCATCAGCAACATAGCTATCTAAAAATTCGTCAGAGAAAAACAAGCAAGGGATTCACATGCCCTGACTCCAGTAACCATTGACAGGTATGTAATAAACGATAGCATGGTTCATCAGTGCCATCAATTGCCTTGAGTTTAGTCACACGGCAAGAGTTAAATTTGTCTCCACCGTTTTGTCACATCGTCACCGGGCTTTCGTAAGCGGAGTGTTCCTTACGTGTGCGCATGCGTCTATCTCAGGAACTTCCTTGGTAACTAAAATGCTAACTGACGGAATTTTAAGAGCCAAAGATTTTCGCAGTGTGGCCCAATAAATTGAGAATGCTGCAAGGATGGAGGAATTAAAGCGGTCTTCCCTCGCCGGCATTAAGATTTGATTTTGCTCTTAGCTTATTTCGTTGCTCCTCTGGCTCAGAGCATGCTCTGTGTCTAATACGAGTTTCTCTCTTGCAAAGCTTTATGGAGCCATATGTCCGAGCTCTTTTTATTTTGCCGTTTAATTATCCCTCCTGGATCGGTTCGCTGTTTTTTGTGGCTCTGGCATTTGAAGTATTTCACCTTACTCCCTGGAAACAAAAATTATAAAATTGCTGCTTCTAGATCTTTGTCTCAATATAAGATGTACAGTTTGGCCTCTTTAGCGCCAGGCTTTGCACCCAGCGGAAGAAATAGATGTGTGACCTAGAGCCACCAGAATCCCTGCTGCCACAGGCTGTCAGCTCCTCTTTCTCAATAGAAGGGTGTCAGCATAAAGGGTAGAAGCAGACAATTTCAGCAGCTTTTCTGCATCTGTTGCTAACATGGTCCATATAGTGCCTCTTTTTTTTTTTTTCCCCAGTGTCACCATTTTGGAAAACAGCAAAAGATTGAAATAACCTTTCCTATGAGTGGACCCACTTCAGTGCTTTTTATTTCCCCATCTAAGATAGGAAAACAGTCGGAAGGGAACTGGGACAGTTGTGAAGTCTGTGCAGGAGACATTTTCAAATTGATTTTCTGTTCCTCCTCAGTCACCATCAGCTCTCCTGGTATCCACCTGCAGCAAGAGCTTGAAAGGCAGGCTGTTTTGCTAACTGAGGTGGAGAGATTCAGGCTTTGTTCCACCCCCTCTTAAGGTTGTCCTAGTTTTTGTTTCTCTCTGAGCCCCACTGGGGAGCTCTGGAGACCTCAGGGCTTTTGTGTTTGTATTTCTCTGTCAGCCGCCCTCAAGGATGCTCTGGTGCAGCACGCACCAGCCCTGCTGGAAGCCGAGAGTGCGTGTCACAGGAAGGTCAGGCTGACTCCGGCCGCCTCTGAGCCCTGTCACAGCACATTTCGGTAACCTCAGAGCAGCTGCGCCCTCACCCCAGCACCTCTCCGAGGGCAGTGGCACCTCCAGAAGGGAGATGGATGTTTCAGAGCTCTCCTCATGTCACAGCTCTTTGTCCTCTTGCCACTCTGACAGATTCCCCTGGGTACATCAACACCTTTAAGAGAACTGCTTCGTTGCGTATGCATTGCTACTTCTCCTTGGCAGGTCAGCACTCGGCAGTGGGCACTGTGCCCTAGTGAGCCGTGCTTCCTGCTGCTGCTCAGATGCATCAAGTCTCCCAAGCTTTTCCCTTATTCCTAGCATTCCTCCTGCAACCTTGTGGTCCAGCCACCAAAATAGTACGTACGCCTGGGATCTTTACAGTTTTCTTAGCACATTAGCGTGATGGGACCCTTGTTCCCATATGTCATTAAAAATGTCTGAAATGTTTTACCTTTCTCCTTTAGCCGTGGGGAATTACATTAGTTTATAAATGCTAATAGCTGAGGTTTCTTTCTTTCGAGCATACCCATCTTTCACACCAGCTTAGGAGATTTTTCCCTGGGTGTTCCAGGTCATTGGTACATCTCTTCTTTCCCCTTCTCCTCCTCACCTATTAATTACACTGTTAACACTCTTTAGTCCTGACTACAGATCAACATAAGGAGCCCTGGTGGTGCAGTGGTTAAGTGTTCAGCTGCTAACCAAAAGGTCAGCAGTTCAAACCTACCTGCCGCTCTACGCGAGAAAGATCTGGCAATCTGCTTCCATAAAGATTACAGCCTAGGAAACCCCACGGGGCTGTTCTGCCCTGTCCTATAGGATCGCTATGAGTAAGAATCGACTAGACGGCACATAGATCAATATAATCTGAGGAGTCTGTTTGTGAGAAATTACCCTATTGCAGAGCTAATATGGACCCTTCCCTGGTGTGCGACACGAAGTGTACCCCTCTGCCTCCTGGGAGCAGAGGAAGTAGCTGAGCAAGTTTATAAAGTACATATTGGAAAAAGAGAGTATTTTGCTTTGGTTTGGCAAGTGAACTTGGCATTGAAAAGAAAGCTGGCGCGTGAATGCCGGTGTTAACTTAATTTCTTTAGCCCTTGGCCCTAAAGTCTTCATAGATGTCCAGGCAAGCTTGGTGAATCGGTGGGATTTGAGCAGAGCTGCTGTTCAGGCCTGCCTGCTCCAGCGTGAGCCCATGCCCCCACATTGTCCTCCCTTCCGTAGCTATGAGCCCCTTATCCCCAACAGTGTCACTTCAAAATGGTGGGGTCCTCCCTAAAGCCATCACCTGAAGCCACTCTGCTGGCTCAGTTTTAAGTTTGCCTCTTACTTTAAGCCTTGTAAAGATTTGCCTGATAAAGGTAGATCGTGAAGCCCATTTCCAAGTAAAGAACACTTCTAAAAATACATGTGTTATCAATAATTGTGGCATTTTAGCTTCTGATTAATTGAAGTTTTACTATACTATAACCACTTTTTCTCCTCCACGAACCAATGGAGAAAAAGGAAATTTTGGTTAGTTATGGGTTCTGGTTAGCTAAGTGTAATTGACATTTTATTGTCCTGACATATTTTTCTTACATTCTTTCAAGGGAGATGCAGTTAAAGACTTAATGCTTCGCTTCCTGGGTGAGCAAGCTGCAGCAAAGAGACAAGTATTAAATGCCAACTCAGTAGAACAATCTTTTGTTGGATTGAAACAGCTAATTGTAAGTAACAATGTACTTGATTCTCAGTATTTTTTTTAATAAATCCTGCTTTCCTTCATAATATTCTCCTTAAAAGTTAATTACCTTGAGTATGTTATCCAAAGCCCTTGCACAAAAATAGAATTTTGTAGGATTAGATGTTACTCTTGTGCAACAAAAGTCATCATATTAATACACTGATCATTTTAAGTCCAATTAGTTAAAAAACCTTATTTTAAATGATCAAATTACTTGAAGTAGCATGTACTCTGATTACATTTGCTTTTTCAAATAGAGTAAATAGAGATAAATCACTTTATGTTCTTTTTTTTTTTTTTTTAATACTCCATTTTCTCCATTTGGCATATGAGGTTTATTGTTGAATGGGTGGATATTTAAACTTTGTCATAATTCCACAAATAGATTTTTTTAAAAGCATTAATATTGGATCATCAACACTATGCATGTTGATTTGTTTCTAGCAAATTTACAATCCATGTGAGAGCTTTAACAATATTGGATTACTTTTCTAGATTATTGAGGAAAAAACAGTGAAGGCTTATCATAGAAGTTTCATTCAGGAATCTTAAAATAACAATCTGATAAACACTGTCAAATAATAGCCACATCTCAAACCTTATCTGCCCTTCCCCAGTTTAGAGTCACTCGTAGATTCTAGAATTGATCCTCCAAGTTCTCCAGCTGGTTGTCTAGTACAGTTTCATCAAAGCCATGCTCCCAGTGTCTTCTGTCTGTGGTCAATGGGAGTGCTTTATTTAAGGGATTGAAAAAATGACATGCCTTACTTTGGTAATGAGGAGCTCCACCAGCTGTGAAAAAATCCAACCCTTACCCTGCCTGCTTTTCAGTGGCACATCCCTCTAAGTATTAATTGTTGATTTGGGTGAGCAAGGTGAAGAACTATTAACTTTTCAACCTTTGATAAAGAGAATGAAATTTCCTACTTTACTTCACTTCTCTTTTTGCGTTCCCCATCTTCTTTTTATCAATTATGATAAAGTCTTCTGTACTGGGCTTCACATTTCACCTTGTTTTAAGCAAATTTTGGTTCCTAAAGATATAATAGTTGAAGGGTTTAGAAATTTTGAATCAGAGGTGAAGACTGACCTGTGAATTAAAAACTAAAAAAGAAAATAAGATCTTTAAGTTTATTTTGGAGAAGCATGAGGTACAATCTCATACTTAGAAGGAACCATCTTTTGTATTATAAAAGTGATACATGAATCACTTAGTTGCACAAAGACTTTAGAGTAAAACTCAGAATCAAATAAGCCTAGTCTTTTTTTATTACATCACCCTTACCTTTAACTCAGTAGCAATATTTGAAAGTTAGGTATATAGCCTGTCCTCATTCTGCCAGAAATTAATGATGTTTGTAAGGCAAAAGCCCTGAACCAAAACCACAGGAAAGAAGTTATTTCTTGATCTTTTATAGTAACATTTAGCAAAATCATAAAATTCTTTTTCTTAATTGACTAGTTCTCTTGAATCAAACATCCTTATAATTTTGTGGAGTGTAGTGACTTCACTACTTTAGAAGCTTTCAAGGGTTCAGGAGGCAGTCAGTGGCCGCCGACTACAGTGACTGGGCTGCCTCGGCTGCTGTGCAGTGGAGTTCTCAGCAGTGACAAAGTACAACTCAAAGTGTTGATATACAAAGGCCTTTCAAATAAGTATAAGCAGGAGCAGTATTCCATGTTGATTTTTACTCAAGGATATTCCTCCCTAGGTTATTGAATTTGTTAAGGCCCTCTTCTTTTGATTTCCTACTTCAGTTTTCATTTTCAAATATTCTGTTGTCAGTAGAGCTCTTGCCTCCTGTAAGAACAAAAAAGAAAAAAAAAGTGAAAGCCCCCCCCCCCCGGCTGCCTTACACTCTAAAGGTAGTTTCTTCTGTCCTTGTGTATTAATCTTGATTGTTATCTTTCTTTAATCTCTTATCTCTTGCCTGGAAAAACATTTTTGGCTCTTGCAGTACCTATGGGCTGTTTTTGAGAATGCACTGAAAATTGGCAAAGCGCTCTTGTAACTTGGATTTTATCCTGACTTCATTATATATATGAAATGGAAGGAGATGACATGTCACCAATGTCAATAACAAATGCTTTAAGTTGGAGAGGAGGCAGAAGCCAGATTTGAAAAACTAAAGATCTGTAGTAAATATCATGAGAACAGGGATTATGTCTAGGTTGTTCACCGTTGAAGCCCTAGGACCTCCCACGGTGTCCAGCACATAGTCGGGACTAAAAACTTTCTGAATAAACAAATAAAGGAATGCGTGAACGAGTGGGTATGAGGAAGCCAAGGCAGAAAGCTTCTCTTTTGAGAAAGAAGTAGAGTCAAAGTGTTGGTTTGAAGAATTGGGGACACTTTTATATATTTATGATGTCCTGGTGGTGCAGTGGTTAAGAGCTCAGGCTGCTAACCAAAAGGTTGGCAGTTGGAATCCACCAGCCATTCCTTGGAAACCTTGTGGGGCATTTCTACTCTGATCTGTCCTTTAGGATCGCTATGAGTCAGAATCGGCTCAACAACAATGAGTTTTTATAGAGTTATGATGAGGAAGAATCTTATAAAAAGGGATAGGTGAACTGTATAAGCAAGAGTGGTTATAATTAACGGAGCAGTCCACAAAGAAGTTGAGAAGAAGTGAAAACAAAAATAGGAGTTGAGTTTGGAGAAAGACAAGGAGTATTTCTTCCTCTGCCATGAAAGAAACGGAAAGCATTAGAAAGAAATTGAAAGGCATTTGAGATCACAAAGAGGAAAACTAAAAGATCTTGGATTAGTGGTGTCTGTATGCTCTACCAAAAAGAAAGTATTCAGGGTATCTGCTGAAAGAATAGGAGTGAGGTTAGACATTGGACAAAGGTCAAAAAAGTTTAGCATAACCTCTGCAAAATGTGATAATCAACAAGAAATGAGTAAACTATCTGATAGTAGTGAAGGCCCATTAGAGGGTAAGAATTTGTAATAGCTCCAGTCAAACCATTTTTTGTTCTTTTGGTCTTTGTGTAAAAAACACATGATAGTTCAACCTATGTAAAATACAACTAGACTTTTCTTTTTGTCACTGTGCGTTTACATGTTATCACTAATAGACTTGTAGAGTTATAGAATATTACAGTAGAAAACGTGCTGAAATAGTCTTATCTAGCATGTTTTCCCACCACATGTCTGTCAGTTTTTTGTACTGTAGTGGCTTGAGTGTTGCTGTGATATTGGATGCTTTGCCGCTGGTATTTCAAATACTAGCAGGGTCACCCTTGGTGGACAAGTTTCAGTGGACCTTCCAGACTAAGAAAAAGTGGGAAGAAGGACTTGGAAGTCTACTTCTGAAAGAGTCGGCCAGTGAAAACCTTATGAATGGCAGCCGAACATTGTCTGGTATAGTACCAGAAGATGAGCCCCTCAGGTTGGAAGGCAGTCAAAATACAAGTGGAGAAGAGCTGGCTCCTCAAAGTAGAGTCGACCTTAATGACATGGATGGAGTCAAGCTTTCGGGACCTTCATTTGCTGATGTGGCGCAACTCAAAATGAGAAGAAACAGCCACAAATATCCATTAATAATCGGAACATAGAATGTACGAAGTATGAATCTAGGAAAATTGAAAGTCGTCAAAAATGAAATGGAATGCATAAAGATTGATATCCTAGGCGTTAATGAGATGAAATGGAGTGGTATGGGCCATTTTAAATCGGACAATCATATGGTCTACTATGCCAGGAATGACAAATTGAGGAAGAATGGTGTTGCATTCATCAAAAAGAACATTTCAAGATCAGTCCTGAAATATAGTGCTGTCAGTGACAGAATAACATCCATATGCCTACGAGGAAGACCAGTTAATACGACTATTATTCAAATTTACTCACCAACCACTAATGCCAAAGATGAAGAAATTGAACATTTTTCCCAACTTCTGCAGTCTGAATTTGATCAAACATGCAATCAAGATGCATTGATAATTACTGGCCATTGGAATGTGAAAGCTGGAAACAAAGAAGAAGGAACGGTAGTTGGAAAATATGACTTTGGTGATAGAAACAGTGTTAGAGATCGCATGATATCATTATGCAAGACCAACGACTTCTTCATTGCAAATACCTTTCTTCAACAACGTAAAGGGCAACTACACACGTGACCTCTCCAGATAGAATACACAGGAATCAAATCAACTACATCTGTTGAAAGAGATGATGGAAAAGCTCAATATCATCAGTCGGAACAAGGCCAGGGGCTGACTGCAGAACAGACTGTCAATTGTTCATATGCAAATTAAAGTTTAAGAAAATTAGAACAAGTCCGTGAGAGCCAAACTATGACCTTGAGTATATCCCACCTGAATTTAGAGACCATCTCAAGAATAGATTTGACGCATTAAACACTAATGACTGAAAACCAGACAAGTTGTGAAATTACATCAAGGACATCATGCATGAAGGAAGAAAAAGTCATTAAAAAAGACAGGAAAGAAAGAAAAGACCAATATGGATGTCAAAAGAGACTCTGAAACTTGCTTTTGAACGTAAAGTAGCTAAAACTAATGGAAGAAATGATGAAGTAAAAGAGCTGAACAGAAGATTTCAAAGAGTGACTTGAGAAGACAAAGTATTATAATGAACTGTGCAGTGAAGGGAATAACACACTCAGCATTTCTCAAGCTTTACGAACTGGAGAAAAAATTCAAGCTTCAAGTTGCAATACTGAAGGATTCTGTGGGCAAAATATTGAATGACGCAGGAAGCATCAAAAGAAGATGGAAGGAATATGCAGAGTCACTATACTAAAAAAATTGGTTGACGTTCAACCATTTCAGGAGGTAGCATATAATCAAGAACCAATGGTATTAATGGAAGAAGTCCAAGCTGCACTGAAGGCACTGGCAAAAAAACAAGGCTCCAGGAATTGACAGAATACCGATTGAGAAGATCCAACAAACAGATGCAGCGCTGGAGATACTCACTCGTCTATGCCAAGAAATTTGGAAGACACATCT